GATTTGAGGATCGCCATTGGAAGCCAACTGGGACAGACAAATCAGAGAAACTTATTTTCAATTAGCCAGCAACAAAATAAACAAGCAAAACAACAACAACAACAACAACAACCCACAAATGGAGTTGTAGCTCAAGTGTTAGAGTACCAGCCTTGAGTGAAAAAGCTAAGGGACAACACCTAGACCCTGAGTTCAAACCCCTGTATTGACATAAAATAAATAAATAAACCCAGTCTTCTAGCTGTAGGCATTCTGGTAGTCACTAAGGTGTGGATAATTTCCATAGTTCTGGGTCTGGGCACATCAATATCTGGGAAATGACTGTATTGTGCTTGCATGTGTTCATAAACCCTTCCCAGAAAGCAATAGCATGCTATTGTCATTAACAACAGAAATACAATGTCTGTTTTGGTAAGTAGATTGTTAAATGTTGGGCTTGGCCAGGTGCTGTTGGCTCACACCTGTAATTTTAGCTAACTCAGGAGACTGAAATCTGAGGATCTAGGTTCAAAGCCAACCTTGGCAGAAAAGTCCATGAAACATTTATCTCCTTCCAATTATGGGCTAAAAAGCCAGAAGTAGAGCTGGGATTCAAGTGCTCAAGCCTTGAGCACAAAAGCTCAGAGACAGCACCCAGGATCTGAGTTCAAGCCTCACAACCAACACAAACAAACAAAACCATTGGGCTTGCTGATTTCAGATCTGAAAAGATCTTTTCCTAGACAAAATCAGAAAAGAGATTAAAGACCAGTGGAGTGCTTAACTGATTTAGTCTGAGGATTAAATGCTGAGAGGGATGAATTGTCTAGTATATACATAGCTTAATTCTTCTAGGTTCAGATTAAAAAATAAGCTCTTGGTTGAAAAATCTGAATCACTAATAGAGGGCATCTGGGTTGGGTTATAACTTCCCTGTTCCAGTCTCTGGGACAGGCATTCCTGTCTCCTTTGTGGGTTCTGTTGAAGTTAATCTAAGCAGGAAGTTTGTGCTTCAAAACCATCCAGACAGGCAGCCAAAAAGAATGGGGTGGGGGTAGGGGCGGCTCACATCAGCTTTACAGTCCTGATGTTGAATTTCTTTCCTCTAAGGGCTGCTTTCCAGCAGATTTCTTTCCTGAGCTGATCCCAACATAAGTGAAAACCATTACTGTGGAGAGCAAATTGCTTTCATAAACATTTGTGTTTTTTCTAATGAACTACACCCAACTACCCCGGTAGTTTTGTTTGTTTTTTTAGTATTAGAAAGCAAGCTGAAACTGAGGACAAAGGAAAGTCTTGCAAGTATTCAAAGGTACTGTCTCCAGGGAGTAGAAAAACAGAGACTCAAAGCCATTCTGATCCCTTCGCCAGCCAGCAAGCATTGAGGCCTTACTGTAGATATACTAGGGTAAATTCTGGGACCTTATTTTGTTCATCAACTTTTATATCCCAAGGCCTAAGACAATATCTAGAACATAGCATGTGTTCATTAAATGTCTTGTACAGGAGCTGGAGATGTAGCTCAGTAATAGAGTGCTTGCCTAGCAAGTACAAAGCCATGGGTTCGATCTGAAGCACAGAAAAAATCAATATTGGCTATCACAAGCCATCATTTCTGATGATAGAGATGCAGTTGGGATAGATGCATGTGGGATAATTGATGCACTATGTATGTAGTTAGGGATGTGCAGCAGACCCCTGCCATGCCCTATATTCCTTCACTAGAGCTGCAGTGTGGGTAGGTTTGAAGGACACACCTCATGGAGTCAAGAATTTGCTGAATGAAAGCACTGTCTCTGTGGGTGCTGCACTGCTGGTTTTCACTTTTGTCCCCACCCTCTAGTTTCAGTGTCAGATGTCACTGAGGATAGATAACAGGTTCTGTTTCAGAGTATCACCCAATCCCATTGCACTCTTTGTGCACTCTACAAAACCAAGTATCTTAAAATGCATTCCCTCAGACTTTTTGGGAGGCTGTAAGCTTTATTTCCTTATCTTGTAATGGTGAATTGTTCAAGAAAGGCTAAACAGTAGCTAATGTGCATAAAATCTGATTACAGAGAATGTCTTTTAAGTAAATACCACCTATACTGTGGCACTGTGTGCCAAAGTTAAAAGGACATTTAGAGTCTAGAGAAGTACTATAAAACAATAAAAGATAAATTAGCAAACAAAATAATCATTGAACCTAGAAAATTTACACTCTTTTTAGAATGTCAGCATTGTTTTTGTTGTTGTTTGTTTGTTTTTTATTTGGGGCTCACCCCTGTAATCCTAACTACTTAGGAGGCTGCAATCTGAGGGTCCTGCTTCAAAGACAGTTTAAGCCAGAAAGTGAGACTTTTATTTCCACTTAACCAGAAAAGTGGAGGTGGCTCAAGTGGTAGAGTGTTAGCAAAAAGCCCTGAGTTTGCCAGGTGCCTTAATCCTAGCTACTCAGGAGGCTGAGATCTGAGGATAGCATTTCAAAGCTAGCTAGGGCAGGAAAGTCTGTGAGACTCTTATCTCCAATAAACCACTCAGAAAACTGGAAGTGGCACTGTGGCTCAAGTGGTAAAACACTAGCCTTGAGCTGAAGAGCTCAGGGACAGCGCCCAGGCCCTGAGTTCAAGCCCTGTGACCAACAAAAAAAAGAAAAGAAAAAAAAAAGCCCTGAGTTCAAGCCCCAGTATGAGCAAACACAGAAGAAAGTGCTTCGAAAACACAACAAAAGGATGATGTGATGACTAGATCAAACTATTAAGGATTGCTTTCCTTCAATCTTAAAGAGATAGGTGGAAAGAAATAGTGGAAAAAGTGCTCCATATGGATAACTTGGCCAGGCCTTGATTTTTGCAGAGCAGGTATGGCAAAGAGTGGGAAGTTTAACACCATTCACAAAACTTTACCTTAGAGATTGCCTTCAAAGATATGTAAAAAGCCAGTTACAAAACAGTGTTTTGTATAACTTTATCCTGGTTATGGTTTAAGTGGACAATTTCTAGATCTTTCCATTTTTACTGTTACTTCTTACATTTCACACCACATTTCCTCTTTCACATCTAATTTTATATCTATGTTCCTTTACTACCTTTGCCATCTTAGAAAAAGTCCCCAGATGTCTTCCTCTTTTGGTCATGGTGTGTGTCTGCCAGCTGCTTCTGTCTTTGTGGACTCTGCTCACTGAGCTTCTTTATCATGTCAAGATGACAACTGTCATCTAAATTCTAATCTTAGCTCTATTCTCCAAATTAGTTGCATGTACTTGTTAATGTTTATTAGCATGGAATTCCATTGAGAGGAGTCTGTCAATCAAGGTAACAGTTTAATACTTAGAAGATCAAAGAAAGACTGAATCACATTACAGAACACATAGATCATTTAAAAGTAGAGTGCTAATTTTATTTTACTTTTCCAAACCCTTAAGAAGGCCATGCTTGTCTGAAATAAGAACTTTAACTTCCTACTCCCAGTTGCTCCTATGCTCAGACAGATATCATTGCCTAGTTCTAGCTAATACATAAAGGCATCCACTCCTGGGAATTCCCTAGCTGTTCTAGAAAGAAGAGAGCTGCTGTTATAGCTACACAATCAACTCATAGGAAATATATACAAGAACACAGAAAAGTCATTTTTTGGGACTGGTTATTTACATTAGCACTCACGGATGTACTTTTTTACTAATTTGCATGTTTATTTGGTGGGAGGTAAGGATTGAGGCAGAAAAGAAATCCACCCTAAATGTTCCAGGGAAATCTCTTACATCTCTCAAAGATATTCCTTGTGAAAGTTTCTCCAGCCTAAGGTACCTTGTTGGCTGGCTTTTTGCCCCACCTTGGGAGAGGTGTCAACCTTCATAACAATGCTAATTATAATGGGCAATAAATGATAATGTCTGCCGACCAAGGACCAAGAGGCTGTGGGAGTCCTCATTAAAACAACTGTACAACTACAACTTCTGGAGGAAGGCTATTATAATGATTAGATGTTTATATATCCTCGTCAATGTAGTTTTTATTGAAAAGTCTCTCCTTTGAACTTTTTTTTTTAATGGAAAACTGATGCACATCGGTAGAAACAATGGCATAGGAAACTGTGCAGTCCTCGCTCAGCTTCAACAGCTCCACCTTTTGCCAATCTGGGTGCACTTAGTCCGTTGTTTGTTTGTTTGTTTTCTCTGTCAGCGAGGTTTTAAAACAAATAACAGGGCACAATAGCATTTCACTGGTGACGTGCAGTCTGCACCCTGATAATGTTCTAATTTGATTGCTTTTGTAAAACAGACATGGGACAAATAAAGGAGCGTGGAACACGTTCATTTGGAGGAAGTGGTTGCCACTTGAAGGTGCGTGGCATTCTTCCTGCGCAGGTGGAAGAAAGAGGAGAGAAAGAGCAGAGAAACCCAGTGCAAGTAAGTATCTGAAAACCTTCTAATCCACCTCACCCAGCCCAGGCAATCAAGACCGCGGAGTTGCTAGGGCCACGGAGGAAGACAGAAGCTCCGGGTACGGTGAGAGCCAATCAGGGCTCCAGGCCCAACCAACCAGCCAATCCAGTTTCGAGATTAAATTTGCCCCCCCCAGCAATCTGCCGGCCCCACGCGTATCCAATCAGAGAGCCGGCTACTTTGGGCGGACTTTTCAAAACAGCGAAAACAAAACAAATCGGGGACCTTTAAAAGGCGCAATTCGGCCAGGACCAGGATCTCCTTCCGCACTCAACCCACCCTACCCCTTCTCTCCTTCCGCTCCGGATCAATCGTGGAATAAACTCGTCGTACAGATTACATTCTTCGCCTTGAAAACGGGCTCAGTAAAGCCAAGGAGAGCTGGGGCGGTCCAAAGAGAGGCTGGACACGGTGGCTCGGAGGAGGGACTCTTTTTCAAGGTCTGTTAGGCAGCGAGGAATCCCTCCGCGGGGAGTCACGTGCCCCGCCCCCTTAGGGGCGTCGCAAACTCAAAACGAAAACAAGGGGTTTGCTGGGGGCAGCGCGGAGGCTGCGGCGGGGCCGGCGGACGTGGAGGGGTTTGGGGGGTGGGGGGCCGGAGTTGCGCCCGGGGTGCGCCGCGGGTGCGCGCGCCGGGAGCGGGATGAGGCCCAAGTTGTGAGGCCCGGGCTGTGAGGCCGGGGCGGCGGCGGGGGCTGGAGGAGAAGGGTTGGATGCCCGCCCCGGGGCATCGCTGAGGCGGCGGGGGACCCCCCGACCTCCGAACACGGGTTCGGACCGCCGGCTCGCCTGTCCGCCCCGGACCGAGGGCGCCGGGCCGGTAGGGGTGCATCTCAGGCACGGTGAGTGGGGGCCGTCCGCGCTGGCTTCGGGTTTCTTTGTCCGTGATCGGGTGGCGGTGGAGGAGGGGAGGGGCGATCCGGGTGTCCCGACCGCTGCCCACCTCCACCCCCCCCCCCGCCCCTGCGCTAGAGACAGACCGACGCTGGCGAGGCGGACGGAGGGGGTGACGGAGCGAAAGGCCCGCCTCCTCCGGCCTCTTTGTCTCGGTGGGTGCTTTGGGGATTGACAGCCCTAGGCTCCCCGAATCTGCGGAACCGGGGTACCTCGGTGGCTGAACTGGGAGTGTTGGGGGCTTGGGGCAGACTGGTTGTCTCTTTCCCGACCCCAGCTGGGGTGCGCCACGCCCCTCATCCCCTAAACCCGGGGTGCTTGCCATTTGGGAGCGGTCCGGACCGGGAAAGGTTGGGGACCCCGGTCCAGCCCGGGGGGGGGGGTTGGGGTGGGGGGGTCCGGAGCTGGATTTCCCGGGAGGGGCGGGGCTTCCAAGTCTCCTCCCTCCGGTTCTTTGTTCAGTCGGGAGGCTCCCCCCACCCCCATTGTGTCAAGCCTCACCCCGCTTCAGTGAGCTCCCCCCAAACACACGCACTCTTCCTCCCCACCTCTCCTTTCTCTCTCTCCTCCTCCCCTCCCCCCGCAGAAGTTCCCCTTCCCCCCTCCGCAGATGCCCGTGGGGTGGACGGTGAGGCCACCGCCGCCTGTGGAGTTTCCTGTTTGTGAAAGGCCCTTCCTTAGCCCGGCCGGCCAGTTCGATCCAGCGCTGGCCGGCGGACGTGACCACGGTCCCAACCCCCCCCCCCGGCCACACCTCCTCAGTGGTGGGGGAGGATTCCCACGGGGCTCCGGCAACGTGACTGATCCCCTTCACCCGTTCCTGGCCGCCAGAGGCATTACCACCGGGCCTTCTCGGTCCTGTCCTCCTCAGGTTCACCCCCAGATTATTCTCAACCTCTCCTGGTGTCTTTGCCGCAGATGAAGGATCTGGGGACAGAGAACCTTGCAGGTGGTGAAGGAGTCCAGCTTCTGGGATTGTTGAGCTTCTACCTGGAACAAGAACAGAGATTCCAACCTCGAGAAAAAGGGCTGAGCTTGATCGAGGCTACCCCAGAGGTAAGTTTGCAGAAAACATACTTAAGCAGATGCTCCCAGCTATCCCCGCCCCCCTTCCCACCCCTGCCCTTCAATCAAGACCAAAGCCTGCCGTTAGTCCTCCAATTTTATACTGTACCAGGATTATGCTTTGGTTTCTTACCAAGAAGGGAAGTAATAGGGAGTATTGACTTTGAATCTCAAGCCTCTGTGTATGAGATATTTATAGTAGAATCTTATTTTAAAAAGGATAAAACAAACAAGGAGTTGTATCTATCTAGGGAATCAAATTACTAAATTAAGCTGTTTTTGCTGTAACCCTCTGGAATATGGCAACAGTTCACCGTATATTGAATTACTAAAAGCTCTCTGTGTTAATTTTTATTATTTTATTTTATTTTGGCAGTAATGGGGTTTATCGGTATTGCCCTTGCTTGACAGGTGCTCTAGACAGAAGCTAAATGTATGCTTCCAGCCCTGTTGTATATTTTAGAAAAAGTGGTGATTTACATCTTACCTCTGTGACATGTATACCTTTAGGTAGCTGATAGCATGGTGAAAATTACATCCTTTTTTGAATCTTTGTATTATTTCTCTAATTCTAATAAAATAGTTAACTTTGACTCATGGTTTTCATTGCAGAATGATAACACCTTGTGTTCAAGATTGAGAAATGCCAAAGTAGAAGATTTAAGGAGTTTAGCCAACTTTTTTGGATCTTGCACTGAAACCTTTGTCCTGGCTGTCAATATTTTGGACAGATTTTTGGCTCTTATGAAGGTATTTAAGGGTTTTTATGGTCCATCTTCTCATTTTGTAATCTCTACATGCCCTTGTGCCTACTCCAGTGCCTAGCACACAATAGTTCAATTAACATTTATCAAAAGAATGCAGTAGTCTTTTGTGCATAAACATTTACAGTAATCAAACTTGTGAGCGTTAGTGCTAACCAGATGTCTTTTGTTAGGTTTTGCTGTACCTATTCAATTCTTTTCTCTTGGAAAATATGCTAAAATAAAGACTATTCCTTTCTTAGGTATTCTCTATGTGTGTTTTCTTAGGTATTCTGTTTGTGTGTATGTGTTCATTCATGTTCCTCAAAATGAGGTTTTCATTTTATATCATTGTGTTTTTGTTGGTGTTGAGATGATTTAATACTGAAGCTTGACAGGTAAGGAAAAATAGAATAGTAAAGGTGACCCACTGTCTTCCCATAAGTCTTTAAAGCAGAGAGCCACAGTGTTACTAAAATCAACAACAACCGATAGAAAATGTGTAATTCTTCTGTCTGTAGGATCCTTGTCATCTGCTGGGTCAGTTTTCAGGGCACTGTAAAGGACAGCCATCTGCCCATGGCAGCCTGTCCATATGTCCCCACAATGCACATAGTGATGGTTGCTTTTGGGGCAAAATGACACTGAAGAATAGAATGATTCCTACAGATGTTTTGCATGAGAAGATAAAATGTAGAAAGTATATTTTTGTATATTTACACACATACAAGTAGTATTTTTTTGTGTATGTTGGAAGGCTTTGAGGAAGAATGTGCTATATAGAATTTTACTGTCTGAAATACAATATATAACTCAGCACTAGAAATATAGACTTTGAACCTACATTGAAAAATATTTCACTTACATTTAAATTATTTAGGTAGCCTTTTAAAAAGTCAGGTTAAGAGACCTAAATGTAAAAATGACTATAATTGTGGGTAAGAGAAACTACACAGAAGAGAAGCAGCTTGGTTATGAGTAGAAGCATCATTACAATATTTTTTTAAGTGTCTAGTTTGTTAAATCAGAGTGACAGTGGTTTATAAAACCCCTTCCAATCTTTTTTAGGTGAAACCTAAACATCTGTCTTGCATTGGTGTCTGTTGTTTTCTGCTGGCTGCTGGAATAGTGGAAGAAGAGTGTAATATTCCCTGTGTTCATGATGTGATCCGTATTAGTCAGTGTAAATGCACTGCTTCTGACATTAAGCGGATGGAAAAAATAATTTCAGAAAAGTTGCACTATGAATTGGAAGCTACTACTGCCTTAAACTTTTTGCACTTATACCATACAATTGTCCTTTGTCATACTTCAGAACGGTGAGTGGGATTAACAATATTATACAAATACTTAGAATTCTGCTATAACTAAAAGTTTAGAATACCTGGAAAATTTTTATTATTCTTATTCCCTCTACACTTGCAGCTTGGACTGTGAATGACAAGTCCTTGAAGTTATTTAAAGTTTTGAAAGTTTAATGAATTTGAAAGTTTGAAAGTTCAATGAATCTTTGTCCTTTCTTTGCGTTGCATAGGAAAGATATACTGAGCCTTGATAAACTAGAAGCCCAGCTAAAAGCTTGCCACTGCCGACTTGTCTTTTCAAAAGCAAAAGTAAGTCTAAATCTTGTTTACATGTGTCTCACAGTTTGGACTTTTGTTTTGACTTTTGAAAAAATTATTATTTATTTTTTGTAGCCATCTATATTAGCTCTGTGCCTTCTCAATTTGGAAGTAGAAACTTTAAAATCCGTTGAATTACTGGAAACTCTCCTGCATGTTAAAAAACATTCCAAGGTAAATATCTTCAGTCCTTAATTTTTTCTTTTAATTCCTTAACTGAGGTTTCCTTTTTTTTCCTTGTGTCTTAAATATTATCTGTATTTTATGAGGTTCTACACTACTATATTCACTCTTTTCTTGTATCTTAAGTGTTACAGTTCCCAGGGTTCAGATAGTATTAGCTGGAAGGGAACTATGTTGCTACTCCTAGCCTCTTTTTGCAGGCAGATGCCCCTTCTGTAATACTTATGTCATATAGTAACATAGTTGCCTACACTGCCATCTGCACATTGTTCTAGACTGCATACTAGAAAATAGACAGTGCAAACACTAGTGGGTTTGGGGTAGGATGGTGTATCCCTAACACCTGTAAGGCTGTGATTACTTCATTAGTAGCATGACTTAGGTATGTTTCTTTAGCTCTGAGGAAGGCCAGTTCAGTCGTTATCTACAGTTTGAGAGAAGTTCAAAGCAAAAGCACAATACTTTTTCTTTCATACACTAATATTCTAGATGGGGAACTCTGAGGCTTAATTTAAGATGGTATGTTCTCTTTGTTATTGTGTCTCAATCCAGATAACTGACTCTAAAAGTACTAGGGGGTTGTTAGTAAATAATCAGGGCAGTTTAGCAGAGGCATTAAGACTGGAAAGCAGATTCTTATGGTTAAGAAACTGGTGGGACTGGATACGTTTAAAAAACAATTTCAGGGAAGGCTTGCCGATATACTGTCTAGATTATTGTTTTAAGCAGAAATAAGGACATTCAAACTAATTTTGAAAGCTGAGCTGAGGAATCATAAGTAATCAAGATTTGGCCCCAATGATGGAGATAATTCTGGCATCATTAAAAGAAACTTAGGAAAAGTTAATTTGTTATGAGAAAAGTGTGATTTTAGGGTCTTATATACTCAGGTGGTTAGTTGCCTTTCCAACTCAAAAGATAAACTGCATTGGACTTGGTAAAATCTCAGCCACCGTTGAGATTTGGAGTTTCTCATGAAGAAGGAAGGGGTAGTTGAAACCATAAAGAACTTGTGTACCGTTTGCTTAAAGGTCAGTTGAAGCTCTGGGGTTTTCATGGTTGGCTTTCCCCTGCTTAGGAGCCAAGTGAAGGAAGGTATGTACAGACTAAAGTACTGTTGGGTTGAAAAGAGGTTTTAAAGAAAGAGGTGGCCAAGAGTGCTGATTTTTTTTTAAATTGTTAACTATAAAGGTGATAAACAGCGGGGTTACAGTTACATAAGTCTGGTAAAGACTTCTTTCTTTTTGGACAGTGCACCCATTCTCTTACATGAGCGCTGAATTTTGATGAAAGGTCTAGTAGAGTGAAAATTGAGAGAGGTCACTGACAGCTCAGGGGTGATACAGTAGAGTAGGGAGAAAAGAGTGCTAGAAACCAGCTTATAGGGGTGGGGGAAATGGAGGTCTAGATGATAGGAAATATTCTGTAGTAGCATAGGTCTTTAATCCCAGCACTTTGGAAGCAGAGAAGCAGGAGGATCAAGAGTTCGGTACCAGCCTGGACTACATTATGAATTTGAGGCCAGCTTGTACTAATAAGACACTGTCTCAAAAAAACAAAGTCTTTGCTTGTGGAGGTCTATATGGTATGAAACATTTTGTTTGGGACATTAGGTTTTCGTTTCAGTCACAGTGTTCTTTTCATCTACACTTTACAGTGATAGTAATTTAGAGAAGCATCATCAGGGTAAGTTTCTGTCAGACAAATTGAAGCATTCTCCCAGGGCTGGAGGAACTAAGTCTTTTTGGGGAAACTCCTTTCAGATTGCTGACTTCTTCCCTTTGTAAACAGTGTCATAATATAAGTATGTATTATTAGCAAACCACGCAATACTTTGGTATAGAAACCTGTAACAAAAGGAATGTTGAATTCCTTTGCAGTGTTGATTGTTAAAGAATGTATTGGTTGTTGCTTTAACAGACTTGGTATTTTCAGGCCAATGTGTTTTCTTAGAGTCAGCAAACCTTTGTGTGTGATCCTGTGTAAATTACATTTAGTTTTGGCTGCTCATTCCAGCCACTTTGGGGACTTAGAAAAATCTGTCTGGGTGTGAGAGCAGTTACCAGCATTTTTATATATTACCTGGTGATTACAAGGTGTGGCAAGATTTGGAAAACTTGTAACTTCTGTAACTTCTTGTTTTGTTTTGTTTTTTTTAGATTAATGACACCGAGTTCTTTTACTGGAGGGAGTTAGTTTCCAAATGCCTCGCAGAATATTCTTCTCCTGAATGTTGCAAACCAGATCTTAAGAAGTTGGTTTGGATTGTTTCAAGGCGTACAGCACAGAACCTTCATAACAGCTACTACAGCGTTCCCGAGCTGCCAACAATCCCAGAGGGAGGTTGCTTGGATGAAAGTGAAAGGTAAGCAAGTATCCGGGCTTATTAGACTTCTGCAGACTCCATATGTTAATAGTGTAATACTAGAAAATAAGGCATCAGAGAAATATCCTACTGTACTGTCATCAGCAATAGTTTTATTTAAAATAGTGATTTATATACCTCACTTTTAAAATTCCTATTTTTCTTACCTCATTCACCTTAACTTTGAAATACAATTCAAGTATTTTAAAAACAGCCAAGTGCCAGGTGCTGGTGACTCTCACCTATGATCTTAGCTACTTAAAAGATTGAGATTGCTGGATGCTGGTGGCTCACACCTGTAATCCTAGCTACTCAAGAAGGTTGGATCTGAGGATCTTGATTTGAAGCTAGCCTAGGCAGAAAAGGCCCCATGAGACTCTTATCTCCAATTAACCACTCAAAAACGAAAAGTGGCACTGTGGCTCACGTGTTAGAGTGCTCGCCTTGAGCACAAAGAGGCTCAGGGACAGTGTCCAGGCCCTGAGTTCAAGCCCCCACAATTGACCAAAAAAAAAAGATGGTAGTTTGAGGTCACCCCAAGAAGAAAGTTTTCAGGACCCCCATCTTAGCTAATAGTTACTATGATGTGGTGATACAGTTACGTGGGCAAAATGTTCACAAGGTGCCATCCCAAAAGAAAAGACCTGGCTGTGGTGGTATATATCTATCATTCATAAAGTAGAATCACAGTCCATCTGTCCAGCAAGGATCTATCTCAGAAACAACTGGAGCAAAAAGGTTGGAAGCTGTGGTTCAAGCAGAAGAATATTGGCTTATCAACTATATGCCCCGAGTTCAAAGCCCATTACCTCTAACAAATCCAAATGAAAACAACAACAGAATGGCATTCTAGGCCTTTTGCTGTTGGCATTAATATAACATTAATGTCTCTATGGGCAGGGGACTGATGGGGAGTTAGTTGATGAAAAATAAGGCCACCATTGCCTTCCACAGGTGTTCCAACCGTTTTGTCAGATGTCATTGGTTCAGAGTTTATTTTTGTAAAGTCAATTACTTTTACATTTTATTCTATGGAGGGAAGATCATAAGTTCCAGCTTCATAGCTTGTTATTTTCTTTCTTTAGTATTTGAGCTATCAGTGACGCAATTATTGATATAAAAAAAGACATCAGCCCATGGGATGGGAGATAGATAGGTGGTTTCTAGTTTGCATTTTGGATTGCAGTTAGTTATTGCAAGAATTATTAAACTATTAAAACAAGTTTAAATAAACTATAAAACTAAGTTAGGAATTGGTACATGATTATTTGGCAAAAAGTAACTTGAGTAAACCTCTTTTAAAAAGTCACTATTTTCTAATGAGATTATAATTGGCTTTAGGAACTCCTTAGAAGTTAAATTTGGCTCTCTAAAATAAAGATGAACTATTGAATACAAAGTCCTAACACTAGAGATACCCATGTAGATGAACAGCAGCTATTTTATTTTGCTTATAAGCATTTGTGCATTTTAAGCCACGACACCTGTTTTTGTTTCTCTTTCTCTTCAGTGAGGACTCTTGTGAAGACATGAGTTGTGGAGAAGAGAGTCTCAGCAGCTCTCCACCCTGTGATCAAGAGTGCACCTTCTTTTTTGACTTCAAAGTGGCGCAGACCCTGTGCTTTCCGTCTTAGAACTCTGCTTGTTGTGTGTTAGAATCGAAAGTATGTGTACCGGTTTCAAAGCAATAAATGGGGGAGTAGGTAGTTTTCTGGTTCAGCCCCCATCTAGGCAGGGATTACTTAAGACTGGAATACCTACCTTCTATTTATTATTCAGATCAGATCTGGCCTATTTTCATATTTAATCCTAAGCCATCAAATGGGTTAGTGCCTCTTAAACAATTAACAATACTTTAGACATTGGCACTTTATTTTTCTTGTTGAGATCTTTAGCTACTTTGGGGAGGAGGGAAGGTGCTGATACCTTTATTACTTTTCAAGAAGATTTTTAACGATGAATAGTGTAGCTTACCTTGAACTTTTTATAAAGCCATCAGGTGTCTAGTTAACAGATTGGAAGCTTGCAGGCGCTTCCTTTCAGGGACAGTAGATAATCCTTGAGTGGTTTGTCCTGGATTTCCTTTCCCAGAATCCTCAGAACAGAGACTGCACAGTATCTTGGATGTCAAGTGCTATGTTGTCAGTTTGTTTTTCAAATGGTCAGCCTACTGTCTGACTCAGATTCTATAAATTAAGGAAAGTATCGACATTTCTGTGAACTTTACTTTGTAATGTCTTCATAAAGGTTCTGCTAAAGCAGAAATAAATGTTAGGCTAGCACTGTTAGATAGCTGCATTCTTAAAGCTTAAGTATTGTCTGACTATGGTATTATCATTTAACATTATTAAAAATCCATAATTTGCTAGTTTTGCATGCACCTGTAGAAGAGTAGACAGGAGTTGAGCAGGGCTAGGTACCAAGGGAATTGATAACTGTTGATTTAGTAGCAAATTTTTTCTCCTTTTCTTACATTAGAAAATGTCTGCATGGTTACATTTCCTTCCTTTAATTCACATTTCAGAAATAATGTATTATTGTATGGGTGCCAAGCTTTGAATATGAAGTGAAAAGAGCCCAAGTGTTTGTAGTATTACAGTTTTACGCCAATTGCTGTGATTATACAGCCATGGAAATGGGGATATTTTACCTCTGTACACATAAGATTTTGTACAGAGAACTTTTAACTTTTTAAATTGTATATGAAAATGTAAATCTTTTTAAATGTATATAAAATGCTGTATTTTTTTTACTCTGTGTGTGATAATATAGGCATTGCATGTAAATATAATTTATTGTGTACTCTGTATTATAATCAGACGTTGATGGCTTACTTTTGTATTGGTAAGTCAACATCTATTGGATGTTTCCTGAGGTGGGTCTTTTTGAAGTGACGATAGATTATAATTCCAAATAAAAACAAATTCTCCTTGTTTCCATTCTATTGTATTTTTAAAACTTTTTTTTGGCTGGGTAGGGGTGTTGAGCTTGGCCTTGTGCTTGCTTATTCAACTTGCTTGCTTAGCTTGCTTACTTGCTGGGCTGGTATTGTATCACTTAAGCCACACCTCCAGCCTGACTTTTTGCTCATTAGTGGGAACTAGGGTCTTATAGACTTTTCTTCCCAGGCTGGGTTTGAACTCAATTTTCTGGATCTTTTCCTCTTGAGTAGCAAGGGTTATAGGTGTGAGCCACTGATTCTGGATTCAGTTTTTTGTTTTTGTTTTTTTTGGTACTGGGAATTGAACCCAGCACGTTGCACTTGCTAGGCAAGTGCTTTGTCATTGAGCTTACAAATCAGCCCTGGATTCAGTGTTTAATCTATGAATATTTTGGTAAAAGTGCTTGTAGAGAAGGGTTAGAGGGGGGCTAAAAGTGATTTCTGACTAGTTATAAACAATGTTATAGGTAATTGTTTATCACCAAAGCTTGAGTCTTAATCTTGGAAATACCAAAAGTGAATCTGTCATGAGAATTGACTTCTCACTGGGGTGGATTCATCTTAACAAGATTTCAGAAATTGGTATGTTAACTTGAATGACAATCAATTTACAGTGAAGAGCAATAGGTATCAAGTAGGCAAGAATGCTCACTCAGCTTGGCAGGTTGTGCCATCTCTTCATAGAGAGAAATCACGTCCTAATCAGAACATGGTTTGGGAAGTAAACAATAAGCATGGATTATTGTGGTTTATTATTTTTTTCTTTTTATTTGGGTCGGGTCGTGGGGCCTTGAACTCTGGGCCTGGGTGCTGTCCCTCAGCTCTTCAGCTCAAGGCTAGCGCTCTACCACTTGAGCCACAGCACCACTTCCAGCTTTTTTCTTTTTGCTTATGTGGTGCTGAGGAATCAAACCCAGGGCCTCAGGCATGCAAAGCAAGCGCTCTACCACTGAGCCACCTTCCCAGCCCTTGTTGTGGTTTATTATTGGAGCCCTGCCAACCTCTGGCTTTGGAAATGTCTGTAAATTTCAGGGTTAAAAAATATTTTTTTAATTCAGTCATTTTTTTTTTCAGTATTGGCAATTGTACTCAGGGCCTTGTGCTTGCCAGGCAGATGTTTTACCATTCAAGCCATGCTTTTAGCCCTCCCCCACCTGGATTGATTATGTGACTGTTTTCTCTGGTTGGTTAGAAAAGTCAGATTTACTGAATGTTATTTGCCTGCCTTCTCCAAGGAGAGTCTGAAGATGAACCGCCTTCCTGAGTAATTTTGGTAACCAGTGGACATGTGTTCTGTTTCCACATTTTGATTTGTTTAATTGTAAAAGTTGCTTGGTTTCTAAACCATCTGATCCTCGTTAGCCCTCCAGATTCTGACTACATCTAAATCATAAGCCAGGTGTGGCAATGATCCCATATGCAGGAAGCAGTAGGTAGGAGAATCCAGGGCCAGGCTGGCTCGGGCAAATTTGAGACTATTCGACAACAACACAAAAGAAAGATATGTCTGGCAGTTCTGTGGAAGATGGACTGGAGGAGGTAGAGATGAGTGTTGTTAAGACCCATCAGGAATCCTACCCAAATGGAAGACTGCTGGTGAACTGAACAAAGTCAGCAGGAACAACAGAGGTGGAGATTGGCAGGCCTGGTCCTTTCTCTTGAGAATTATTCAAGGATGCACAGACAAGTCCAGAAACTAGTTATACATTCCTGTGCCATTCAATCAAGTAGCTTTCCCAAGACTATGATAAACAAAATGGAGACTTAAACATCCTTCCACTGAGCTCAAAGAGTGAGGGAAAGCTACTCTTTTGGCTTCATATTTGCTCCCCTTGATTTGGCAAGATTGGTTGTTTCTGGTTTGGGTGGCATTAATTTGGATGTGGTATGTGTCTGCTGCTTTTGTTCCAGTGTTCAGTGAGGTATTGTTCCAGGTCCCTGAGTCTCTTAACATTTGGCATGCTTCTATTCTGTCCCCAGGAAGTGATATTGGACAAAAGATGTGTTTCAATCACCTCGCACACTCAGTTAATACTCAGGCTAAGTGTAGGAATCTCAGCTGGATATGTACTCTTGGCAATTTGAACCATTTTCATGATCTAGCATCTGCTTTTTTCCTTCACTGCCTTCATCTACGTTCCAATCTGGTGCCCCATTCTACATAACCCCACTACTTACACCTTATTTGGATAACCCATCTAAATTTTTTGTGCCAGCAGTGGCTCTTGAACTTGTCCCATAGTTTTGTCGCTCAAGGCAGGCAGTCTACCACTTGAGCCACATCTCTATTTTTGACTTTCTATTGGTTAATTTGAGATAAAAGTCTTGGGGATTTGTCTACCTGGGCTAGCCACTTAAATTTTTATATGATATAAAGGCATTATAGTTTGAATTGGTCACTTTTGAATTCTTGGTTTGATCATTAGTTAGTACCAGAAATAGTAAATAACTTGTTTTTAGCAGGTCAGCTTATAGGGTAGATAGCTTCTCAATAAAGTAAATTTCATTCTTGGCATACATGTGACTCTTCCCATCAATGAATGGAGTCTATTTTCCTTGAATTTTGGCTGGCCTTGTGATTGGCTTTGCCTACTAACATGAAATAGAAGATACTCAGTGTACAGCTTAAGCCTTAGCTTTAAGAGGACTGGCTGGCAGCCAATTTTTTAATCCCTCTTGGAAGGTAATGCCAGGCTGCAGAGGAAATGAGAGAGAGGCATTTGAGGAGTATGGGCCATCTTAGATAGTCTGAGCTCCCAGATGACATTTTTCTGTGTTGTAACCTCCTTGTGTCAACTAATGTATCCTGAAATGTGTTAACATTTTTCTGTGTTGATAATTCTGCCCAACATGTCATTTCCATTCTGGCTGGTGATTCATAGTTTGTAAAGATAAACTATTTCCTCAGTTACCCCACAGAAAGTGGAAGAACCACTTAATGATCCCAATCAACAGTCTTGTGAGAAATAAGTCATTGTTTTATGGGATGGTTTGTTAAACAGTAAACTAAAATGAATAGAGAAAATGGTCATGGGGTGATCCAAGTGGCAAGATTCATGTGATTCTTTTTTCAAGATGATGACCATCTGTAGTTTCTTCTTTTCCTTAAACTGGATTTGAAAGTGGAGTTTAATTATTTCGGTTTTGTTGTTGTTGCTTTTATTGTGCTACTGAAGTTTGAACTCAGGGCCTTATGTTTGCTAGGCAGCTAATCTATCACTTGAGCCATGCCTCTAACCTTTCTCTTCTTTAGTTTTTCTTTCTTTCTTTCTTTATTTTAGATAGGGTCTCACATTTTTGCCTAGAACTGGCATCAGAATGCAGCCCTCCTAAGTGTGCCTCCCAAGTAGGTGAGACCACTGGTGTCAGTTAATACACCTGAGCCAAACAATTGCTGTTTTAACAGAAGCAAAGATGAACCATAAAAACATTGTACCAGTTATATTCTTCCTTTGAGGAAAATCCTTTATGGCTTTTCACTGTTGGCTGTTCATCAAGTTCAAACACCTTTCTGTGACTTCCCAGACCCTTCTTAGTAAGTCTCTGCTGCCTTTTCCAGTTCCTCTCATGACATGCATACACAGATGCTTGCCAGTCTCCTTACAGTTCCTTCTTCTTGTCACAATTCATTTATTTCAGCATCTGCATACACATTGATTCCTCTGGCTGAAACACCAGTTACCCTCATTAAGTGGCAAACTCCTACGGACTTACCTTTGGAGGCTCTCCCTCCAAATGAGTACATTCATTCACTTTGTTCACTCACCCACTTAAAGGTTATAAGAATCTTTTCTTCTGAGAAAAATTTCTTGATTTTTTTTTGAGTCCTGTTTTTCACAAAACCCTAGCAGTTACTATCTGGTTTGTCTGCCTTTCTCTCCCCTTATCTGCATACTTTACCCATCTCCTCTGAGAAGGCAGGGGCTGTTTGTCTCTCGTGCTTTAATAAATGCCCATATCTGGTCTACACTCCTGTAGCTGCAGTTGCCACTTATGCATTATACGACCTCTGCCTTATGGTAATGAGAAATGTTACTAACCACTTATTATGTCCCAGGCACCTTACACAAAGTCCTTAATCTTTATCACAATGCTATTTGACAAATACCAGTGTCTTTTTACATGAAGAGAATAAAGATTAGAGAAGTTAAGTACCTTAACACACATTTAATAAGTGGTGGGGCTATACTTCAAGCCAACTCTGCCTGCCAAATTAAAAAAAATTGTTATTGTAAAGGCTATGTACAGAGGGGTTACAGTTACATAACTAAGGCAATGAGTACATTTCTTTTTGAGCAATTACATCCTCCCTCATTTTCCCCCAGTTTCCCTCCCCGATAAGTAATCATGTTAATTTCTAAGATTCCCTTTCCCTTCCCCAAATCAGATAAACTGATATAGAAGACAAAAGCTACTGAAATCAGAAATATTGGTCACTCATGCACGAGGAATAAACCAGAGAAGGAAAAAAAAAAGAGAAGACAAAAGAAATGACTGCAGGGCTGGGAAGTTGGCTCAGTGGTAGAGTGCTTGCCTCGCATGCATGAGGCCCTGGGTTCGATTCCTCAGCACCACATAAGCAGAAAAAAAAAGCTGGAAGTGGCGCTGTGGCTCAAGTGGTAGAGCGCTAGCCTTGAGCTGAAGAGCTGAGGGACAGCACCCAGGCCCAGAGTTCAGGCCCCACGACCGGACCCAAAAAAAACGAACAAACAAAAAAAAAGAAATGACTGCAAACAGTACACTAAAAGAGAAAAAAGAAAAACAAAGGAACAGTAACAACAACAACAACAAAACCCTCTTGTTTCCATATTGTGGAGATCATTTTGATTAGCATCATTTTATGTAGTCATATGTTCAAAGTTATTGAGCTATTGTGAACCTCTACTAGGACTATCCTAGGCATATACCAATTATTACAAATTAGGGAACCAGACAGCTTATGTTTCTTTGGGGCTGGCTTACTACACTTAATATGATTTTTTTCCAGGTTTCTCCATTTC